CTATGAACTTCAGGTGCGGAGGTGAGCCGTAGAAGCAAGCTCGCAGAAGTAGAACCGCACAAGAGATTGGTGACCGCAGATGCGGCTGAGGGCTCACAGAAGCGAGACCGCTGGGCAGAAAAGGGTGAATTCGAGGGTTTTATTTCATTCTTCAACTTTTGACTTAAAGAGCTAAGCTTAGGGCGATTTCTAGAGGGATTTTCAAGAAATTGATCGAAGTTAGTGATTCTAACTCGGATTTGACTATTATACATGAATTTATCATTGTTTCTATCATTTAATTAGTTTTTTGAGTTGGAAGTTGGGGTAAATTGTGAAAGGTTCATACACTATATTTTGAGAACTTGAAGGTCGATATTTTTTTTAAAAGTAAAGTCCACCAGGCCTTGGGCCTAGGGTTGGTTTTTATAGATAAGAAAATATAAATTACAACAATGGAGGGGGACATAAACCTTACCTCCAGTAGAAATCTTGATGTACATTTAGTCATCCAAACATGACATTCAAGTGCATCCTTAGAGCTATATGAAGTTAGACCTATGATGGGGTACCGATTATCTATCCAACATTGATAGGCACTTGGGTAAACAAAAGCATTGTGAAGTAAGTCTAGTTCAACTATACAAAATAGCACAAGAGATCCTAAATCTACTAATCTAGTGAGTTGGAAGATTTTCTGCCACATACAACAAATTGTACAACTGCAAACAGTGTAGATATTCCTTAGAGAATGTGGCAAAAAACAATTGAGAATGGTGGGAGCTATCTTCAACTTTGCTTCGACATTGAGGTCAAGGAAAGCCCAATTGAAGATAGCTATCAGAAAAGCCCTTGAAACTGGTCATAGGTGCTACTGATGATGCTGCCTGATATTGTTGACAGGAGAGGGTGAGGAATGGCCTGTTCCTTTCATCCAAAAAGCCTTGAAGCATGCACATTGAACTATTGTCTTATGGATTCCAAAATTTATGCAATGTGTAACCATTAGCTGCTGATAACTGGTGGAAAAATAGGGCAGGCTAGCTAGGTTTGAACCTTTAGGATTGACCTTCTGAGGGACTGTGACAATTAGGACAGTTTGTTGTAGAAGAACCAGCTGCTTATAGCTTGAGAGGTGGACATTTGATTGCTGATGGCCTGGAGTTCTCAATGTGTGCTTCTAATGGATCCTCCAGGAGAGCTGACACAACTACAGGAGGTTGAGCATCTGGGATGCTAATACCACTCCTTGCAGGTGCATAAGTAATCTGAGTTTATCCCTACCTCCTACAAAAAGAAACAAACAAGTTAGTGTAGAAGGTTCTGCTCTCAGGTTCTTGTGTGTTCCGGGAGTGCTGGTAGAGGTTAGTCTGTGAGGGGGAGAGGAGTGGTGTAGATGCTGATGTTTTTTCAATGTCCATATTGGAGGCTGATACAGAAAGAGAGGGGCATGCTGTAATCCAGCATTTGAGGTAGCTGCACTTATGAGGGAATGATGGATGATTGACATTGGATTGTTGATGTCATGTTGCAAATGGTGGTTCTGCATTAAGTTGCAGCAATTCTGTGAGAATGATAGAGTGAAGAACCCAGCTTTTCTTTTTCTTTCATTAGCCTGCTGAGCCCCTGTTGTCAGGTTCTTGTGGGGTGTCCCTGATTGACTGGGTTTGAGTGATGTTTCTTGTCGTTGATGTATCCTCAGTAGGTTGAGCATTTTATATGTTTATACCACTAGCTGAGAGTACACCAAATGGACAGGGTAAAGAGAGCGAAACACACCTGCAAAAAAGAAAATGGTGTTAAAGAAAGACTAGGAATTTCTGCACTTTTTGCTGCCCCAAAAAATTGTTGTTTGGACTGTGTGGTCTGCTCCCAGGTATTTCTGATGTTTAACCATATCCATTAGATACGGAGGTGGAAGTGTTATTTGATGAGGGCTGAAGTTTGCTAGTTTTCTTATGTCTAAAGGCTGGTGTATTCATTTGGTCAAGTCTGATTTGACTGGGAAGGTCAAGAATATTCTCAAAATGGGTGATTTGAGGGAGATCATGGTTGATCTTAGATAAAGATACATATGAGAGCATTTGAATTCATGACACTTGGAGCCTAGTTCAATCAGATTCTGCAGCTGCATCTCTAAAGTCCAAGGGGGCTCAAATTCATGGTTGATCCAATGAACAAGTAGTGCTAAATCAACTTCTAAATGCATTTTGAGGCAACAGTTCTCCAGGCACCACTTCATTCCAATAATGGCTGATTCAATTTCTACCATGTTGTTGGTTCTTTCTCCATGTGGGCTTGATGTGGCATAGATGAATCTCCCAAGGTGATCTCTAATAATTTCCCTTGGACCAATCTTACCTGGATTGTTGAGGGAACTGCCATCATTGTTCAGCTTAACAAATCCATCCTCTGGTTTGTGCCACGTAACCTGTAATGTGCAAATTTGATGTTGCATTATTTCAGATGTGGAATAGAGTTCATTCCATTGAAAAGGCCATTGGTAGGAAGGATAGGTGGCTCTAAGGAGCAGATTGATGTCTGAGTTGATGGAGAATATAACTCTGATCATAGATGATTGCTTGAGCCATATTTAGCACTACATCAATTTTTCCATGGATTCCTGCAAACGATGATTGGAAGTGTATCCAGGATGAGTTTATGCACATCGTTCCTGCTCTTCTGCATCCACCATTTCATCAGTAGTAATTTAAGAGGCATGGTTTGGACAAGGAAGCCAATTGGGCCTGTGAGGTGCCTCCATATTGCCTTAGCAAAGTTTCCCATAATGAAAATGTAGTCTACTGATTCGGCTTGAGGCCTGATGCAGCACACACATCTAGTGGCAGTAGGTTGACCAAAGGTAATGACCCTATCATCAGTTGGCAGTTTGTTTCTGAGGGCTCTCCAAATGCAAAAGGTCAATTTAAAAGGGATTCTCTTGTTCCATGTTATCTTTTTGGTGAAGAGGATCCGCTTCTTCTTTCTGACTGTTTCCCATGCAGAAGCACAAGTGAATTTGCCAGAGGTAGTTGGTGTCCATATAGGTTTATTAGGGATGTTGGAAGAAAAGTGTATTGGGATCTGAATGATATCAATAATTTTGTTGGCTGGAGCTTGGTTGTGAAGCTTCTGAAGATCCCATTTTTTAGATTCCCAAAATTGAGAGACAATGATGTTGTCTGGCTTTCCTCCCTCAATTCTGTAGCTAGCTAAGGGACCTGTTCCCAACCAATTATCCCACCAAAAACTTGCACTACCAGGATATAGCCTCCAATTTATGTGTGCTTTTGCTTCTTTCTTGTTACACATAATTTTTTTCCAAGTTTGGGAATTGCCATGGTGCCATTTCTTTGAGATTGGGCGAGATCTTTTGCAATATTTGGCTAATAGGAAGGTGCTCCACAAAATTTTTTTTGTTTTAAAATTCCTCCACTGCTTGAATTCCATAGCCTTACAAACATCAGCCACTGTTCTAAAACCCACACCCCCTTCCTCTTGAGGATATGATAACTTCTCCAAGGAAGCCCAATGGTAATTATTTTTGTCCTTCTCCATGCCCCAAAAAATATTAGTAGTCAGTCTTTCCAGTTGTTTCATGACTGTTTTGGGTGGTGAAATAGCTGATAGTAGGTGAATGGGGAGGGATTGTGACACATATTTGATCAAGGTAGCTCTTCCTCTATATGAAAGCAATCTGCTACGCCATCCTCTGATTCTTCTCACAATTTTAGATTCCAGTCCATTGAAGTGTAAAATTCTTTTTCTTCCAATGTAGAGTGGGCAACCAAGGTATGCGATTGGTGATTCTTTCCTGGTAAAGCCAGTGATTCGAGAGATCCTAGAGATATTGTATTGGAAAGCACATGTGGGAGTCATGAAGTGACTCTTAGCCTTGTTTATCAACTGGCCAGAAGTATTCTCATAATCCCCTAGGATTCTCATAATCTTCTATAGGGAAACTCTGGTGGATGATGTGAAGATAATAATATCATCTGCAAAGCTCAAATGATTAACTTGAGGACCCCTTTTTTCCATGTAGAAACCACTGATGAATAGATCATTATTGAGGTTGTTGAGCATTCTAGAGAGAAGTTTTGCCCAATGATAAAGAGGGATGGTGCCAAGGGATCTCCTTGTTTTAGACCCCTAGTGGATTTGAAAAACCCATGCCTACTTGCATTTATCACTACAGAGTACCAGTTATTTGACATGGTTCTCCAGATCATGTCAATAAACATCTTATTGAACCACATTCTTCTAAGCATGATGCATGTAAAACTCAAAGACACTCTATCATAGGCCTTTGCCATATCGAGCTTGATAACAACATTAGCCCCAGTGTTAGGTTTCTTGATGCCTTGGACAATCTCCTGAGCCAGCATAATATTTTTAAAGATACTTCTTCCTCTTACAAATTCAGACTGGTTGGCAGAGATGATGTTTGGTAGAATTGGTGCTAGCCTTGAATAGATTAGCTTTGAAATGATCTTGTTGATGAAGTTTCTTAGGCTAATAGGTCTGAATTTAGTGAAGTAGTTAGGAAATTCAACTTTTGGAAGAAGGATCAAACAGGCATTTGTCATATATCTAGGCATGTCACTACCTCCAAAGAAGTCAAGAATCACATTGAGTAGATCATTTTTTATAACATCCCAACATGCTTGGTAGAATTTTCCATTTATTCCATCTAGCCCAGCTGCACTATTTGGATTCATGGAAAAAACAACTTCCTTTAGTTCATTTAAGGTGGGATCCTTAGTTAGAATTGTGTTATCTTCTGAAATGATCATAGTAGGGATACAAGATAGAAGATCTTCTCTAATGTGTCCCCCTCGTTCAGAAAAGAGATCTTCAAAAAAGTTGCAAGCAACTTCCCCTATTGCTTCATCACCCTAGAGCCAATCCCCATTTTCATCCTTGATTTTGTGGATACAAAGCTTTCTTCTTCTACCCCTTATGAAACTATGAAAATACTTGGAATTGGCATCACCATCCTTGAACCATTGCAACTGAGTTTTTTATTTTAGAACTTCTTTGTGTAGTTTCAAGTGTCTGGTGTATTGAGCATGTAGATCGTGCAAGTTTTGTCTGTCCCCATGATCATTGGAAGCTGCCCATTTTTCTTCTGCTTCTTTGACCTTTTGTTCAAATTCTTTGGGTTTTTGAAAGATGTCATCATATTGTTGTCTGGACCACTTGCTTAGAGAACTAGAAAGAACCTTGAGTTTTTGATGAAAGATCCACATAGCACTTCCATTGATAGGACTATTCCACACTTCCTGAACTAGAGGCATAAAGGATTTATTCTTCACCCAACAGTTGAGGAATCTAAAGTATTTCTTGAATGAATTTTGTCTCACAGTTATCTCCATCGGGAGAGGAGAATGATCTGAGCCAGTTGAAGCCAAATGACTGATGGTGGTTGCAAGAAAGGAGCTTAGCCAGTTGTCATTAGTTAGACCTCTGTCCAATCTTTTCCATACAATATAACATGGACCCCTTCCATTGGACCAAGTGTATCTAGGTCCATAGAAGCCCAGGTCTGTCAGACCATAGTCCTCAATCATGCTAAGAAAGTCAATTTTCTTTCATCTGGTAGGGAATTCCTCCAATCTTTTCCCAAATGGAAGCAATAACATTGAAGTCCCCAATTACACACCAGCAGATATTACATATAGTAGATCTCTGTCTCAGATTCTCCCAGAGTGGAGCTCTCAATGCTGGTTTGCACTTGGCATACACAACTGTAAGCTGAATAATTTCACCAAGTTCAACATGCCTCAGTTCAATGGTCATCTGCAGTTCATCCTGATCCAAAAGAGTGCCAGTGAAGTCTTGATCCAAGAAGAGCCAAATTTTGTTATTGATATTGACAGCAACTTGGTTCATAGATAGCTGGATTCTGAAGTAATTAAGGTAGAAACCAATGCGAGGGTTGTCCAAGAATGGTTCCGGCAAAACAATAAGGAAAGTTTGTGAATTGTTTTGATTTTTTGAGTCTCTCATAGCTTCAGAGGTCGATACCTTAAAATTCAAAATGATTGTACTAATCATTTAAGAAGGGGGGGGGGGGGTTCTTGATTTTGGTGGATTGTTGCTGCTTGAAGGAGCTTTGCTTCTGGTAAGTCTGGGTGAAGGTCTCCTTTTGGAAGGTTTCTCATTAGAAGATGTCACATTGTCCTGTTAGCACCACCTTTAACTGCTGCCGGTAGAAGGTCACAATATTGATATTCATCAGCACCATCACTGAACCTATCATCCTCTTCATTGAACCCTAGTTAACTCATCTTCAGATTGTATAGGTTAGTACTCGTCATCATCCTGACCTGAAGGCGATAGACTATTGAAGAGTATCAGAGCAGATTGGTTCCTTGGGTCTGGTTCTATAGGTATATTTGTGCTTGGAGGTGTATCATTGCCTGAGTGTGCCACTGCCATATGAATACCATCTTCATTGGTAAATTGACAAACCATCCCTTTGTTTGGAATGTGTCTTGTCATTGGTGAAGGTGAATGAGAGTAGTTCTTAGGAACCTTATCAGGAGGTTCCTCTAAAGGTTCAACTATGCTGATACTTGCATTTTTCCTTTTGATATCTCTTCTCTTTTTTTGACTTGGTTTATTTTTCTATCTTGTCTTTTGACTGGGAGCATCAATGAAACAGCATGACCTTTGCCTTTGTCCATTCTTTTTGCTGCATGTTGTTTGTGCTTCGCAATGATCATCAATGGACCCTGAGCTGTATCAGGTTGAGTGCCAATGGTAACAGGGGTTCTAAAGTTCATTCCTATTATCAATCAAAGGTGCTAACTCACACTCATGCACAATATGAGGAATAGCCTCTTCTTTTGGATCCCATCCTACAGTGGTTAAGGTTATCTTCTTGACCTATCTTCCTTTCATCCCTTAACTTCAGCAATATTAACGAGGGCGAGTGGAGAGGGGAGGATTCTGAGACATAGAGACCAACATCATTCTCCATTGAAACTAGGGGGTTAGTGTTGATACCCAATTTTTCCGAAAAAATATTTCAAATTGCATATATGACTTCAAAATCATGCATTGATTAGCAATTGATATTTTTTTCACAATTTTCCTATATTTTTATTAATTTATCCAGCATTTTTATTTCCAAGAAATAATTACAAAATTACCTCACAAAAGATTTCAAAAGCATTTCTTGATGTAATGTATTATTTTTGGTTCTATTAAGACCAAATTATTTCATAATTAGCCGAATTGGCACCTTTTGGCTATAATTGCAATAACTTTGTAATTCTAGCCCAATCATATAATTTTGTACTATTTTCATCCAGAAATTAATCATGTGTATTTTTTAAATACTAAATAAACATTTTTAAATTATTTTCTATGCATGAAATTCATTTTTTATAATTAACAGCTATTTTTGTAAATTGTTTTAATTAATTTACATTGGGTATTTAAAAAATAGCCACTTTCATTTCAATAATAGCCTAATTAAATCAGACCCCAACCCAATTAAAACGGCCCAAATACCCCAGGCCCAATACCTTATCCTACCCGACCCAATCCCTTGTCTAATCTGGACCGTTGATTAATTTTAATCAACGGTCCAGATCTCTCCTTTCCTTAATTAACCCTAGAGAAACCGAGAACATACTAAGTACCTGCTCTTTCATTAGCACAAAGACACGAACAACATTGGTTCAAAAACTTTCTCTCACACAAACACTCTTCTGCTCTCTTTTCTCTGGTTACTTGCTATTGTTCTAAGTCAGCCGCTACAAGCCAAGGCTGATTACTCTACTCTCTTGATCCTCACTTTGTGTTCACACTCCTTCTTTAACTGGTAATGTTCTGATTTCAATTCAAGTTCTCAAAAACAATGTGGTCCTTTTATTACTTCAATTCAATCCTGTTTCTAGTCTGCTTTTACTTATGGTTTTTGCCTGTGAAACTGTAGTTTGATATGTTTAATTATTAGCATGTTATGTACTCCCCTTCTTAGGATCAGTATGACATGTTACCCCTCTATGTAGTCTGTCTCCATGTTGATCTTGCTCTATCTAGTTTCCGGTAATGAAT